ACATCGTGTCGTGTCATCTTGTCTAACCTATATTGCAGCCCTGGTTTTCATGAGAGTCGTCCTTAGTCAACAAAATTCTTGACTTCTTCATGACGGTTTTAACCCTAGTGTAATCAAGTGACACTCCAAACAATCTTATTAGCTGCAAGACTTTAAACAAAGTTATTAAATAGCGACGGAGTGAAAAATTTACTTTAATGGGGACACTAGTGAATACTATAATATTATGCTAAACAACCAAAGTTATAAAATAACCATGTTTCTGTCTTTTTTAAGCTTTTTTTTTTTTTTTTTTGAGCAAATTCACTCTTAAAATTTTAACCAAAGTTATGAAGTTAATTTTTATTCTCAATCTATGCAAACTTTAGTCCAGAAGTAATTTTTCATTTTCACTTTTTTCAGAGATTAATAGTTTTAGTTTTGCATGTACTTATTTGAAATAACGATATTATTGGTTAATTACAAAATCGACAAAACTTATGTGATATACCAATAAATTCTCATAATCCCAACTATTGATTTTCTTTCTCTTTTTCTAATATATATATATATATATATATATATATATTTAACGCATTCAATCTAAGTATAACTTTTCATAACTACTCGTTGTTTAAGCCAATACGTTTTTTTTCTTTTCTTTTTTTTCCTTTTAAAGCAAAATCTAGGTGAGAGAAAATGTATAGATAGGAAATGAGGAGAACTCATAAGAAAAGATTTAATGACGATTTACCAAAACCATTAGTTAAATTTTACTTCATGAATTCTCACTTTTTTCTGTGCAGCATCTTTTTAGTTTTTTTTTAGTTTTTTGGACTTTTAACCACCGTTTTTCAAAAACTTTGTTTGAACAAGAGTCACATAATGTATATTTTGTTGTCGTGTATTTTGATTCAGTCAAAACAATTATCATAACCGTGGATCTAAAACTACTGAGACATACAATTTTGGCTCTTACAAACATCATTTATCTAGTGCATATTACTTTGCTATGTATTATAAATACAGTCCGGTAATATTAATTTTCACGACCCACTAAAAATTTCAAGATATCTAACTATTAGAAGCTATAGCTCTAATCGTAAAATATACATTAAAAAAAAGATAAAACTAAATAATAAACCACTACTGAATCGAGATTTGGGTAAATGATATCATCATTACCATATATATTAAGATTTAAGTGCAGTTATATATTCATAATGAAAAGACTAAAACTTTAAAAGTGTCACTTTTTAAAAAAATCATAACGATGAAGAGCGT